CTTTCTCCCCGCGACTCCCGATGTGATAACGTCCATAGTGTGGGATGACAATCCTGTGGCAGAAGTCACGTGCTCTGAAGTAGCAGATTACCTGGACTATCTTATCTGGAGCATCAGATTATCCAGAATTAAACCAGGCCCCTGTTTGTAGGGCAGAATGAGGTGCAAGAGTGTTCACACACACCCGTCCTCTTTGTTGTTTGTTGTTGTTTTCCTCATCGTTGTCTGTAATGAGAGGGAATTTGTTTACACCAGCTCCAGGAATAGAGTAAATTTTTCCCACTGGTTGGAGGTTGGAGTGCTTTGGATCACAAATTCTTCTTGCTCTGTCCATGCTACATATCCAGATCTCCCTCCCCTTGCTTTATTGGAGAGATGGGGACTACATACCTATTTTCAAGACAGAGAGTGGTGACCTAAGTGGTGAACCAAGGGACTGTTCACACTACATTATAACTCAGTTTGTAAACCAGTTTAAAAGTGGGTAGTTCACACTGGCGCCAGGTTTTGCACACCTGAATAGTGGTGGACCTGGGACAAATCTCCCTCATTGTGGGTTTTCTGATATCGAGTTTTCCCCCGTGTCTTTTGAAAAAAACCTGGGTTTTGTCAGGGTGCTGCCAATGTGAACTTGCCCCTGATCCTATTTGGGGCTTCCTGAAGGGAGGCATTGGTGGACAGAGGGGCAGAACATGCCCATCCTCTCGCAGGTCGGAGTGCATGGCAAGCACCATTTTTGTGCTCGCTTATTCCATGAAAAACCAGCCCTACCATTCATCAGCCTCTCTGGCATTTACTTGGGGAATGAGAAACAATAAACAATAATTGCATATTTAAAAATAAAAAAAGAATATATATATACACACACACACACACACACACACACACACACACACACATATATATATATATATATATATACACACACACACACACACACACTCCCTTTCCCTCCTCCTCCTCTTTGAAAAAACCTGAGCAATGACTAACTCCAACAATGAAGCCGGAAAAATGAGAATAACGAGAATTTTGATTGGTGGTGTATTTTTTTTTAAAAAAATAAGACGTTGCCCAAGTTGGTGAAGAAGGGTCTTTTGGTTTGTTTTTTAATTTTTTTCTTTGACTGAAAGCGTGAACCTTTGCATTTCCATGGCTTCAATGCGTGGTGATTTTATTCTCCAAGGAGAAGCTCTCATGGGGATTTCATTTCAAGGGATCCTCCGAGAGGCTTCCGCTCCCCATCATCCGAGAATGAGTGGGGTTCGCCCAAATAGCATAATTTGATTGGCAGGGAAAAAACACCCTGAAAATGATTGAATGTGATTGATAAAGAGGTTCCATTTTTAATCAGTACTTTGTTCAGTGTGAACTAAACAGGGTTAAATTGCAGCAGAGAGATCCAATCGGGGAGAACATAGTCTGAACTTCTATTCGGGTCAGATTCGCTATTGCATCAACAAATCTGCCCATATCTACCCAGCACAAAAACGCAAGTGTGAATAGGGCCCAGGTGTCCTCTTGCAGACCTTGGCTGCATCTCTACATTGCAGAACTGATGCAGTTTGACACCAGTTTAACTGTCATGGCTCAATGCTATGTAGTTTTGTGAGATATTTATCCTTTTCTATCAGAGAGCCCTGGTGCCTCAGCAAACGATAAATCCCAGGATGGAGCCATGACAGTTAAAGTGGTGTCAGACTTAGAGCCTTTGGAGGAGATTCAAGTTTTTCTATGACTAATTCACTATAGGATTGTACCATTCATGCATGAATAAAATAAAAACTATGTCCCAGGTTTTTGTTTTTGTTTTTTCAGTTAAGTGACATAACTGGGGGAGAGGGGATCAAAATTAGGATAGTTAACTTATATGTTTCTGGAATTTGTCAAGCAAATTCTTCTGATCCTATAAACATTAATGTGATGAATTTCTTCTAAAGTCTGCTGAGAAGTCTTAAGTTTTTGTTTTTATGTTTAGAAATTGAGTGCATGTAGATGAATGGATAGTACAGCATCTATTGGCATTAGACATTAGAAAATGTTATGCCATAATTTGGATTTAAAAGAATTGGTGTAGAATAAATAAAAGCAATGTTTTCCTGTTATTCATCAGGTTTCTGGGAAGATACAGAAATACCTATGTAAAGAAAGTGCTTGTCTGTTATTGATGAAATAACAAATATGTTTGGTGTGCCTAACTAAAATTAATTTTTCTTCTCTAACTTACCTTTCTCAGTGAAATTTTCAGGGTATTTAGAATACATGGACAGACCTTTTGACACAAACTGCTTCAGGAAGAATCCTAAATTCATGAAACTTGGTGAAGGTGAGACTTGAATGTCAGAGTATTCCTGAAAGGGGATGGCAGTCTAAATGTGATTTACCATCTTCTCTAGTATGCAGAGAGTGCTCCTTGAGATCAAGTAGACCTCTGGGATTAATAATAATAATAATAATAATAATAATAATAATAATAATAATAATAATAATATTTTTATCCCGCCCCTCTGCATAGGCAACCAGGGCGGCTTATAACATTAAAAATACAGTAAAAATACAATACATGTCTCATAAACCCACCCACCCCTCAAAATAGTATTAAACAATGAAACAATTTAAAACATACTTAAAATAGATCACAGTAAGACATAACAAACAAATAACACTATTTGCAGCAAAGATTAAGGGAGAAAGATGGGCTGACTCTTGAAGGCCGGGGTATCTATTC